TCAGTATGTGTGTATCTTTGTTGGTGTTTCTTGTAGGCAGCAAATAGGTGGGTCTTGTTTTTTAATCCATTCAACCAGTCTGTGTCTTTTAACTGCAGAATTGAGGCCATGTACATTCAAGGTGACTGTTGATAAGTAATGAGTTGGCCCTGTCATTTTCCCATAAATCTTTTCACTGTTTGCTTTGGGTTTCCTTTGTACTTTTAGTGGGGGATTTTCTGCCTTCACCTTCTTTCATAGTGATGACCATGTTTCTGTTTCTGTCTGTAGCCCATCTGTAAGGATCTTTTTTAAGGCTGGGTGAGTGGTGACAAACCCTTTCAATTTGTTTGGTATGGAAGGTCTTTTTTTCACCTTCATTCATAAAGGAGAGCTTTGTTGGGTACAGTTTTGTGGGTTGACAGTTTTTTTTTCTCTTAAGACTTGGAATATATCTCACCATTTCTCCTAGTCTGTTGGGTTTCTGATGAGAATTCATCTGTGAGTCTCAATGGAGATCCTCTGAAAGTAATCTAGCGTTTCTCTCATGTACATTTTAGAATCTTTTCTTTATGTTTTACTGTGGAGAGTTTGGTTACAGTGTGTCATGGTGAAGATCTTTTCTGGTCATGTCTATTAGGAGTTCTGTGTGCTTCCTGTACTTGGACCTCCCTTTCTTTCTCCAAAATGGGGAAGTTTCCTGTAATTATTTTGCTAAAAAGGCCTTCTAATCCATTCTCTCTTTCTATGTCTTCAGGAACTCCTAAGTCCCTTATGTTGGTTTTTTTTTTTTTTTGTCTAACTTTAAAACTTGCAGAGATTTTTCTTCGAACTCGGATATTCTTTCTTCTGCCTCACCGAGTCTGTTGTTAAGGCTTTCCACACATTTTTTTGTTTGTTCTACTGATTTCATTTCTGATATTTCATTTTGATTTCTCTTAAAATCTCAAGTTCATGGGAAAATTTTTTATTCATGTCATGTATGAATTTCTTTAATTTGTGGATTTCCTTCTGATTACTTCTAAGTAATCCTGTGATCAGTTTTTTGAATTCTGCTTCTGGCATTTCTTAAATCTCTTCATCATTACATTCTAGTATTGAAGTGTTGATGTGTTACTTTGGGGGTGTCATGTTGTCTTTTTATTCTTGCCTTTTGAATTTCTGCATTTATTTTTAGGTATTTGTGGAGATATTTGTTGACTCCCCCCCCACCCCGATAGCTTTTATCTTTGTACTATGGCTCTGTGGCTTAATGGAGTATCTGCTCTTTCAGTGAATACCCGAGGCATGTGCTGAGTGTGGCTCGGACGATCTGTTCAGTGCTCCAGGGTCAGGGGATTGTCCAGGGTGATACCAAAGTTGGGCATGGTCTCTCTCTCTCTCTCTCTTTCTCTCTCTCTCTCTCTCTTTCTCTTTTAAATCAGAGGGGAGAGTTTCATCAGCTCCTTTGGCATAGTCTCATGTTCACCTCCTTTCCTCCAAGGAGACTAATGTGTGCGCCCTAGCCCCAGTGGGTGTAATATTCATCCTTGCTGCCATGAGAACCACACAAAGGACCTGTGCTGTCCTCAGTGTGGGCATGGATCCTGCAGCAATGGCCCTCACCAGGGAATCGGGGAGCCTGGAGTATATGGGATCACCTAGAATGACTGCCCAAACACCCAGCCACACCCTGCACCCTCCCATGCAGCCACAGTGTATTCATAGTCCCAGCATACAAGGCTCCCACAGTCACGAGCACCCAGCTCCCTGTCATTGCTCCCAGCCAGACTGAGGTGTCTCCTGTCAGCTGGTTGCTGGGCACAGGTACACAAGCTGGAGCAGCTATTACATACGTCCAAAATGGCACCTGTCCTCTCTCAGATAGTTACAGGATGCTGGTGCTGGGTGGTTAGAGAAGGAAAAATTTGCTTCCTTTTTCATTTTTTCCCCTCTAGATTGGCAGGTATACTTTTCAACTGGGTTACAAGCTGGACTCATGCTAGCCTTTTCCTGCAGCTTTTTTTTTTGCTGGTGGCTTGGGTTGCTGCAGTCTGGTCTCACCTCACTCTCCAAAGCTGGGGCTGAGGCTCTCAACTGTTGGGGTCCTGAGTTGTGCACGTCCACACCCTCCACATAGATCCATGGTGTCTAATTTGCATGGAGTTTCCTCTGCAGTTTTCTCTCTGTTTCCTGAAATTGTACTCTCTGAACTTTTGTTTTTAACTATCTTCCCTTAGACTAGAGCAGTAGGCTCCCTCCCTATTCCCCATTGTATTTAATTTTTCAAGGCTATTCTTGATTCTTGAGATTGACACTGAAAAAAAAATCACCAATACCAAATAAGGGCTGAGTCTATTTTTCTATCAGTCTCTCTTCACCTTTTGTATGCCATAATGAGAATGATGATATAATAGATATTTTCTGTCTTTAAACTGACATGCACAATATATGTCATATAACAGCAAGATTACTTTGATTGCCAGTGATAGAACATCCAACCTTTTGGGTGAAGCATAGAAGGAACTTTTTGGAGCCATGTAATTGAAAAATGTGTGGTTAACTAGCTTCAAGTATGGTTGGTGTTAACAGCCTCAGGTTGGTTTGGTATAGTCAGCTTCAAGTAGTTATTGGTGTAACCAGCTTTGTGTAGGGTTGGTATAACCAGCTTTAGGAAGAGTTGGTACAACAGGTGTAATAAAAACCCATCCTCCCTGCATCTCATGGCCTTGCTCTCTTTGCTCCATATAACTACATGATGGTTTCCAGGGATTTTTCTTTTTCCCATTCTCATTCAGTGGAAAAGAGAACAACCCCTTTCCCCTCAACAAGTCTTGAATGGCATCTCATTGGCTGATTAAAAATCATTAGTCTTCCAAAGTGTCTGAGGCCAACAAGACTGGCTGGCTGGGGGGAGTCCTTTGACTGTCCCTGGATATCGAGGCCATGTTGACACTCAAGGTGGAGCAGGGAATGATTCCCTCTAGGAAGATTGGTGGCTGTTCCTACAGGAGGGGGAGTAGATGCTGAATGTGAAACAGCAGCAGCAACAGTGGTGGCCACAGGCACTGCATGCACTGTTCTTCGCTAAAGCCAGGATTAAATTTATGTTGTCCAAAACAAGGATTTTGGTGGCAGAAAGCTACTGGAAGATGTGATTTGAGCTTGGATGATAGAGAGGTGGGATTTAAAGCAATCATTCTATCTGCAAAATGCGTAACCTTAATGAAATAATGAAAGGTTAGTACAGATAATCTGACAGTTCTCTAGAGAGGCAGGAATGAGATGGAAAATATTTAACCTGTGGCAGAGGTACTGGCCGGTCTGAGTGAGTTGGGTCCTGCCAATCAGAAGTGAGTGGTGGCGGCTGGAAACTCAGCCTCCTGCAGGACAGTGTCATAGTGCCACTGCATCTCTTAAACGTGTAGTGACAGCCACAACAGAGGACTATGATCTTGGATGACTTAAACTAACAGAAATTCATTCTCTTCTAGTTATAGGAGTTAGAAGTCTGAAATCAAGGTCTTGTCAGGGTCAGTCTTTCCTTGCCTCTTCTCTGTGGGCACTTCATAAAGTTCATGGAAAAATGGAATTGGAAGATAAGGTTATTTGGGACAAAAAAATCTTGAAATCCATGCATAAAATTTTCATAATAGTCATTTTCCATGACAGAGAGGACAGACAGATCTTGCATCCGTTGGTTCACTCCCCAGTTGGCTGCAGTTGGCTTCAATGGCCAGGGTTGAGCCAGGCCAACGCCAGGAACAAGGGACTTTATCCAGGTCTCCCATGTGTGTGCTGGATCCCAAGCACTTGGGTCGTCTTCCGCTGCCTTCCTAGGAGCATTAGCAGGAAACTAGATTGGAAGTGGAGCAGTCAGGACTCTAACTGGTGACCATATGGGATCCCAGTATTGCAGGTGGCGGCTTAACTCACTGCACCACAACACCAGCCCCGTCTGTGACTTCTTAGAAGACCTTTGATGCAATCCTTGGCATGCTTTGGCTTATGAGTACACCACTCCTATCTTTGTCTTCCTGGGAGTTCTCCCCTGCGTGTCTTTTTTTCTGTGTCTATAATTTCCTCTTCTTCTAGGAAGATTATTATTTTAATTCTGTTATTATTTTAATTCTGTTAAAATGTGAATGTGGGTATGGCAGTTTGAAGGACACTTCATTTTCATATGCCTGTGTGTTTGTGTATGAGGAGGTATTAACTTCTTATATATGAACTTACTTAAAAAATGCAACTGCCCATAATTAGATGAATGTCATCTATCAGTATATTGAAGAACAAGCACAAAAGAAATACATGTGGTGGAGGACTTGGAAACTATGTCTTGAATGGCATATTTGAACATGCTGGTGGTCATTGTCAGTTATTGGACGAAAAGCTCTGTGGAAAAGGGATTAGACTCGAGAGAGCAGAGCTAGAACCAGTGAGTTAGATTTAAACATGTCAGTGCAGCCTAAAACAAAACTCTCCCAACGTACAGCACACCGAGGTGGAACTGCCTGTCTGAAAGGAAGAAGAAAGTGCAGCTTCCTTCGAGTCCTCGGGTAGATGCCATGTAATTATCTTCCTGGGACACTTTAATAGAGATTTCATCTTAAGGAAAAAAGAAAATGAAAGGGAAAGTTCCTCCAGCTTCAAGATCCGTTGCAAATCTTCCTAAAATCTGAATTCCTCTATGCCATAAAAAATATCCATTGTGTGACAAGGCATTTTTGCAAGTATAAATGCTTTTTCACAGCTGTCAACCTTGAGTTCTACTCTTTGACCTGGATGTTATGTTCTGATGAGGAGGTTTGAATCTAGAAGGGGAAATGTTAGTAAATGAGAGAGGAAGGGGAGTAAAACTTCTGTGTCTTGCCTACTATGTGCAGGTGTATTAGTTTAGTCTCTTTATCCATTTTATCTTACTTAATATACATGCTTTCTCATTGCCCAATTTGGAACTTAACAGAAAATGTAGTTCTTAGAACGATGACTTCTTAAAATAACTAGCATTTTCTTACATGTTCTTTGGTGGTGGAACACAGGACTGTTCTGATGGCTACATGTGCAAAACGCATTTGCAAATTAAAAACGGGACTGTGGCGCCTCGCCCAAGACCATCTGCCCACGAACAGACGGGTCTTCCCATGGAGGTGAGTGTGTCGACACATCATGTTCTTCTCTACAGTCTTTGTGAAGTGTATGCTTAAAAATTTAAATATGTTAGATGTATTTTTTTAAAAAATAAACTGCCTTTTGCTCTTGGACCCATTGTAGTTGGGGGAAAGGAACATCATTGCAGGGAGGTATTCCTTCTACAATGCTGAAAACAGGAATTATGATAAAGGCAAGGTCCACTTGGAGCATGCTCAGGTCGTAGTGGGCCTTCTTGCTTCTGTTTTCATTGGATCTGCAGAGCCCAGGTGTCTTCTGCTGCTTACTGACTTTCTCCAGGGAAGCCCCCTTGGGAAGATAGAGACATATCCCTGGCTACATAATCTAGTATGGAGACCCCTTTGCCTACTCTGCCTCTGACCCTTGAAAGTATGAGGACTCTCGGTCTCATTGCTAATGGGATTTTAACCTTGACTTGAAAGCCTTGCCAAGTTAAGCTGTATTAAGGTGCTAATGGCTTAGTGGTTTTCTGGGGTATTTTAAATTTTCTTTTTTATAGAAGTACAGATAACCTTATTGTACAGTCATGCACCTCTTAAGATCCAGGATAAATTCTGAGAGCTGTGTCATTAGGAAATCTCGTACTTTATGAGTATCATGCACAACACTTTGCAGGCCTACCCAGTATGGGTCATTTACCCTTGTGGCCCTGACTGGTCAAGTGATGTAGTAAACATGAGATGTATGAGGCTGTTCCTGGTGCACCAGTGCAGGCGCCATCGCAGTACACAGTTTTTTATAAGTAGGAGGCTCTAAAAGCAATAAAAAGAATAGCACAGTAAACACATGGGTTGGGATCAATGTGATTCATTATTATCGAGCATTGGGTTCTGCACACACATGTGTCACATTGCCGTACTGCTGGCAGTGCAGTGTTTGTGTTCACACCTGTGTCACCACAGGTACGTAAGCTTTGATGTCACTGGCAATAAAAGTGTTCATCTCCATGTGGTCCTGTGGAACCATGATTGAATATGTGACCCATTGTGGACCGAAATGTCATTATACAGTCTAGGACTGTATTCATTATTGTCAGTAAAATTATATACATATATATCCATTATAAAAATGAACAGAGAAATGTGTAAAAAGGGTAAATGTTCTCCCATACACTACTTGAGTGGTAACTGCTGTTAACATTCTGGTAGATAGTCTCACACACATTTCTATCACACCCCCATACACATAATTGTTCTTCTGCAATGAGCAAGTGTATCAGTAGAAGTAGAATTTCCTGGTTCTGTTTAATGACTCCATTGTATCCCATGCTATAGCTACACCATACTCATGTGGAGCTCGTACTGAAGTGAAATACTTGAATTTTGAAAGGAGTCTCTTGGGGAGTTCCCCACCAACATGTAGCTTCCGAGAATCCTGGTGGAATGGGAGAGGAGCCTTTCTTGTGAAGGGGAGCTCTTTCTGGCGATCAGGCGTTAGCCCTCTGTGCCTGTGTTTGTTCTGGCCTCTGAGAACGTTCTCCCACGTAATCCTATCTGCAGGTTATTCTTGAGGGTCCTGTGCTGTGGTGGTAAGCTGAGCTCCCTGGGGCAGTTGCTGGTGTGCTTGAATCTTGATTTCTGCTTCATGGTTCAGATAACAACATCAGATCTGAGGCCAAGTGTGCTAGGAAACTTTTCAGTTCATTACATATTAACACATCTTACCAATGAACACAGAGGTAATGATTTAAAAGATGAGTCACAGGTCTCTGCTTAACCAGTGATCGAGATTCTAAGGCACTAGAAAGGGATGCTGTCGGGGCTGGTGCTGTGGTGCACCGGGTTGAAGGCCTGGCCTGCAGTGCCTGCTATCCCATGTGAGTGCTGGTTTGAGTCCCCGCTGCTCCGCTTCTGATGTGGCTCCCTGCTAATGCACCTGGGAAAGCACTGGAAGATGACCCAGTCACTGGGCCCCTGCGTTCTTACAGGAGACCCAGAAGAAGCTCTTGGCTTCAGTTCAGCTCAGCTCCCACTGTTGTGGCCATCTGGGGAGTGAACCAGCAGATGGAAGACCTCTCTCTCTGTCTCAACCTCTCTCTGTAACTCTGTCTTTCAAATAAATAAAAATCAATCTTAAAAAAAAGAAAGTGGGGTATCAGTGTAAGGGAACTGGTGCTTCCTATTGATGCTTTCATTTCACCAATTCTGAAAATTATGCTTTTAAAATATAACTTTTTCAGCATTTTTAATTTCTAACAAATTTCAGACATTTAGTAAACTTGAATTTTTAGTGAACATGAATATACTTACCACCTACTTTCCACCATTATCATTTTGCTGAGCGTTCTCTATTAAATATCTATCCAGCTCTCAATATCTTATATTTTATATCACGGTAAACTGCAAACAAATAACTCATAAAAAGAAATATACACATTGATTTACCTGCAGGTATATTCATCTTGTTATTTTTTAAAGCTTATTCTTATATACTTGAGTGATAGAGTAATGTAGAGGGAGAGGGAGAGAGAGAGAAAGAGAGCTTTTTCCATTTTTTCACTGGTTCACTCCCCAAATGCCCACAACAGTCTGGGCTGAGCCAGACCAAAGCCAGGAACCTGTATCACCCAGGTCTTCCAAATGGATGGCAGGTACCCAAGTACTAGAGCCATCATCTGCTGCCTCCCAGGCACATCAACAAGGAAATGGGTCAGAGTGGAGCTTCCTGCTAATGTGCTTGGGAAGGCATCAGAAGATGGCCCAAGGTCATGGGTCCCTGCCAGTCAAGCGGAAGACCCAGGTGGAGTAATGGGCTCTTGGCTTCTGCCTTGCACAGCTCCTGCTATTGCAGCCATTTGGGGAGTGAACCAGGGGATGGAAGACCTCTCTCTCTCTCTCTCTGTTTCTCACTCTCTCTGCTAACTTTGCCCCTTCATATAAATAAAATAAGTCTAAAAGTAAACAGAAGGAGGGAGCAGCTGGGACTAGTACTGGAGTTCCATTATGGGATGCGGGCATCTCAAGTGGCAGCCTAACCTGCTGTGTGACACTCAGCGCTTGCGCCCTCATTGTTATTTTCTAGGAAAAATGGAAACAGCTGCAGTGTCCAACTGCGATGGATTTGTTAGTTTGGGGACATTTGTATGATGGATGCAGTTATTAGGAATGGTCATCTACGTGACTAATTGTAAAGGTTAAATGTTCATGTTGAAGGGAAAAAAGTGGTCCTTATGGTTTTACAATTCATGTACAGCTAACATCCTTGAAATTATCCATTGGCTGCTATGATTTTAAATCACTATTTTGTTTTCCTTTTTACATTTGTATCTCAGTGAATGATGCCTTTTACTCTTTCTCTCACCTCACAAAGCCCCTGGGATAATTTTTACTTCATTCAGTGGCTTTCTTGGTCGTTGCCATTCATCCTTACACAGTCCCTTGCTGTCCCTTTTCTGTCACTGCTCTCCCAGACAGTGTAAGATTTTAAGTTCAGAGTCAAAGTGCAGTAGTGCATCTCCTGGCTTTTCCTCCCTGCCCATCCTGAGCAGAAACAGTAATTGAAAGATATATACAAGACCTAGAAATAATTTCCCTCTTCCAGTCAGACAAGGTTTTCTTAGCTGATTTTTAAAATTCTTTTTAGTATCTTTTATTCCTGTTCTTTCGCTTCAGTGGCTTTCCTTAAAAGTGTGTTCCCTTTATTTCTCTTCCTTCTTACGTCTTAGGCTTTGTCCTTACTTCCTTAAGGTCAGACCCTTTGCTCAGACTGTCAGCTGCAGGGAGTAGGGTGACTCAGCACCTGTTTTTCAATCCTTCAGATCTGGTTCTCCTTAGTACCAGCTCATTGAAGGATGAGATGCCTCAGCATGATGACATTGTGTAGGCTGGATTCTTGGGAGAGTTACTTAGAACTGGTGGAATTCCCAAAGATTTATATCTACTAGCATGTTTTCCAACAATAAACTTATTTAGAAAAATTAGCAATATTTAAAAGACTGATTTGCCATGAGGGTTTTTTTTTTTTTTTTTTTTTTTTTTTTTTTTTGGTGGTATATGTTTGTAGGAGTTGTCTTAAGAGTCTGATGATAAGCACTCCATCTTTTAGTCAACTTCAGTGTTTTATCTGATAACACAGTGCATTTAGACCAAGCCTTCCTGACTAGATTACAACAGCAGCATGATTGGAAGAAGAATGCTGGACTTGAGTTAGAAATTGTATTTTATAATTCTCTTAGCCGCTTACTAACAGTACTTCTGTTTGCTCATCCCAAATACAGGTGCTACTTAGCTGGTTTTTGTTTTTTGGTTGGATGTGATAAGCGTGAAGTACTAATATTAATGCTATCAATGTCACATGTGAAATTATCTTTTAAATTTTGCGATGAATAGCAGGATGTGACTGGAAAACCAAGGAACAGGAAGTCTGTAATACTTCCTTTCTTCTTCTCTTCTTTTCTTGCCTTTTAGAGATTGGGAATAACCTCCAAATCGGAAGGTGACCCTTCATTCAGGCACTGCCACCAGGATCTCAGAGAGCAGTGGAAAGACAGTTGACAATGACCCTCACTAAAAGATCATGGTAGACTAATTAGGGCATTTAGAGCCTTTCATTTCAGCTGCAATCTAGTGTCTTACATCCCTGGACTAATATTGGAAAGAGTTGTACTTTCTTCTCTTAGATTCATTTTTTCATCATAGATTTATTCATGACTTTTATGGATTCACTCGTAGGTTTATTATTTTGAGGGGTCTCCAAAAAGTTAATGGAAAATGCTTATTATGACAAAACTATGCATGGATTTCAGAAAAGCTTTGCATCAAAGTAAACTTATTTTTCATTCAATTTCTATAAACTTTTTGAGGTACCAAATGATTACATGAAATATTTTATTTTTAAAAAAGTTTTTAAATTTGTTTTTATTTATTTGAATGCCAGAGAGAGAGAGAGAGACAGAGAGAGAGAGAGAGAGAGAGGGAGAGAGAGAGAGAGGAAGAAAAAGAGATCAGTCTTACATCTGCTGGTTCATTCCCCAAATGCC